TTGCAACTGTATAAAGACCAAACTTTCTTCATCTGATACTATATTTATAAGAACTTGTTATGAGTGGGATATATTTTTCGTGCAATATTTATGCTCCACACACCACCTCGCGAGATCGACGTGTAGCTGGACACTTACACAGTGGGACCCCACGGCATAAAAGTTGCAATTTATCTTCATATTTCGAGTAGTTATGCATTTAAAAGCACTTACCTGTTTTTTGAAAACCTTGTCCAACGTAATATCATATAAATTCTGTATTTCTCTCATTTTTTAGAAACTTGGGACTCCGTTTCTGTTTCTGTCCTCAAAAATCAACAGACGAAGGCACAGATACTAACAAACGAGATTTTAACGAGAGTAGCAATTAAGCGTAACAGAGATAGGCATCCTTTGTTCTCTGGGTTCTATTCATTCCGACCAATGAGAGACCGTAATACGGGCTCCGCCCCCACGCGTGTAATCTCCTTCTGTTATAACTCCTTGTTTGTACATATGACATTATTTGGGTGTACTAACCCAGACGCTTCCGACTCATCTTAACTTGTTAAATACATACATTGGGGCCGGACTTTCATTCCTAGGACTACCATTCCAGTCACAACGACCCAATCTTCTGTTCGGTACAGATGCACTAAGAGATAGTTCGCACGCCGCACTACATCGCAAGGTCAGGGGTCACAGTAACGAGGTTAATTACCATCTGGGTTTGGTATTTGACACCAGAAGCCGAAGAATACTTTAATTATCAAAGAAAAACACGTCGTGTATGTTGACTGAAGCTCATAAAGGTGTTGCAAACCAAGGTCAAGTATTCAAACCATTCAGCCGGGCTTGTACTATTAGTTGACTTTTGAATAAGCGTCGCTGCATAATCATTGTGAGGTGGCTCCCGTATTGGTTTCCCCATACACTGGCGTTGTAAATATACATAAAGGCACCATAAATGAAACTCCCCTCGCAGCGATAACCTACCTTCGTAAGGTTCTGCACCGTTTATTCAAGTTTACTTCAGCTGGCACCTCTATCCTATGGGAGCGATCGATTTCGTCGTCTTTTCCTTACAACACGTTTTTATTATTAGATCTTTCTGGCAACTTGATACCTGCAAAATGTACCTGTTATTCGTATTTATTTATCTATTTGCTTTTGGAGGTTTTCGTTTGTATGTATGCAGTGTGGTTCGCAGTCATCGATATCAGTGAGTGACACGTTTTACAAGTGTACCCATAATTTCAAAAATGCGTTCACTGAACACAGCGAGCAACGGAGAGTTTTTTCTTAGTTTTTTTTCTGATGACATTAAATCTAATCCTATATTTCAACTGTCAAGTCACAAGTATGGTATGGGCACCGAAAAACTGTGCACNGTTTCGAAGTCATCGATACCAGTGAGCGACAGATTTTACAAGTGTACCCGAAATTTCAAAAATGCGTTCACTGAACACAGCGAACAACGGGAAGTTTTTTCTCTAAGTTTTTTCTGATGACATTAAATCTGATAAAAATATTCACTTTTAAATTTCAACTGTCAAGTCACAAGTATGGTATGTGCACCGAAAAACAGTGCACCGACAGACCGAAGAGTCACTAAGTTAACAATCTCACCAATTTCTATTGCAATCACTGACACCAGGACACTGATAATAGTCGTCTTATACAAATAAAGATATTTTGGGGGTCGGCGTTCTAAAATTGCGCTTCAGCGTCGTCATGATTGTAAAGGTAACGAGAATGCACTGATGTACCGATGCACTGGGTGTAAATCGCTTAGTAACGTCAAGTCACGTGTACGTGACTATGATACCAAAGCACCGTGAAAAGGGAGCATCTTTGAGCTACGCGCACTGCGGGGTAAATTAGAAAGTACCCGATGCTCACCTGGGGGAGTACTCAGTGATCGCCAGGGAGGATTTAGTGCTCGTGGAGCACCCAGTGCAAAGCCATGTCGCAATCCTCCCCTGGACCAGCTATATATAGCTGCATACACACACACACACACACTCACACATACACTCGCACTGTTGTACGCAGAGAAGAAAAGACCGTGGAAAGGAGATTGACCGACTCGCACTTACACACGACAAAAGCATTTGTAAGTTCTCGCCGAGCAGTAACCACCCTTGCTGCGCGTCACCATGCAACCGCTGCTCGCGATGCACGTGCGAGCGCTCGTGCTGATGCATGTTGTCGGCGGGATCTGCGGGGACAACATTCTGCTGTACCCGTACTCCGTGTTTTTTAACTCCCGAATCATGAACATGGAGAAGCTTGCCCTCATGCTGCGGGATCACGGACACAACGTTACCATACTGGTGGAGGCAGCGTATCAGCCAACCCGACCACTCGCGGGGGTCCACCTGGAGAAATTCACCGTCAAAAACACCCCGCTTGTCACTCGGATCAAACAGCACTGGGATTTCAAAGCGGCACTAGAGTTCGTGCACATGTCCTTCCCGAAACAAATCGCGTTCATAGAAGAAGTCAGTTATTCCGTGAGTGACAGTTTGCTTGGGGATCGTGAAGTCATGAACAGAATCAAACACGGGAACTATTCCCTCTTCATCTACGACTGGATTGATTTGTTTGGACCAATCCTTGTCCAATATCTCAACATTCCGACCATTATCTACTCAAACTATGGGTTCGAAAACTGCTGGTCAATTTTTCATAACCCGGTCAATCCGGCATATATCCCCGTTATTCAAGATGACCATGGGTATTCTGACGAAATGTCCTTCTTCCAACGCCTGCAGAACGCTGTTCTCTTTTGGGTAACTGAATATTATCTAAATATCGCCGCCACTAACAAAATTGAAAACCTGAAGAGAAAGCATTTCCCCGATGTCGACTGGCCCCACGTCAGATACGCTGGAGAAAAAGTGTCCCTTATTATCGCTGCCAACGTCCACTTCGCCTTCGACTATCCACGCCCTGTTATGCCGCACGTGAAACCAATATCCGGGCTCCTGCACACGGCCCCCCGCCCGCTGCCCGCACACCTAGAGGCCTTCATGTCGTCTGCTGCAAACGGTGTCATTTTGCTGAGCTGGGGTACTGCCATGGCAACGCTGGATAAAGACCAGGCAGAAATACTAGCAAAGGTATATATTTTGATTTGGCATACTGCTTTGTGAACCGAAACTACTTTTTTAAAATATTGCCTTTCCATTCAATGCCTGTGAGGAATTGGGCATTTTTATATTTTAAAACGAAATTTTAGTGTTGGCATTGAGTTCTCATGTGTATCGACCCCACATTCAATAGGCCCTCCCTCAGACAAGCATCTACAAGTATTATGAGCGCTTATCATTGTTTATCTACAACCTGTGCAAAGGTTATTATTTGACCTGAGATGCTCCTTTGAAATACGACTGTACACAACCCATGAAGAAAACAGCGTAAAATAGGGGTAAACGTTTGAATGGTCAACTTAAAATGGAGGGGCAGTATAGATTATTCAGAACCTCAACGCCAGAGTACCTTTAAAATTCTTTGAGAGCATTTTGTATGAAGGGAGTACAATATATTGACATTTATGCAGAAATTTAACGTCCAAAATTAACACTTATATTGACGTAAATATACGTGTGTTCTTCGATTAAATTAAGTTTTTCATTCCATGTATATCCAAATATTTTGTATTTATAATTCCATAATGCCATCTCTCTTCTTTTATTTTCTTTTTCAACTGTTGCTACATTATATTTTTTCGATACATCAATTATAGGGCATTTAAAAACAACATGAATAAAGTATATTGGGCAATTATGCATTCACAGGTATTTGCAAAACTCCCCCAGAAGGTAATATGGCGGTACAAGGGGCCCCGGCCGGCACACCTCGGCAACAACACCCTGCTGGTCGACTGGTTGCCACAGAACGACGTCTTGGCCCATGTCAACACCAAGCTCTTCATCACCCACTGTGGCGTCAGCAGTAGCTGGGAGACCATGATCCACGGGGTGCCCGTAGTGGCGGTGCCACTCTGGGGTGACCAGTATCATCAGGCGACCAAACTGGTCACCAGGGTGAAAATGGGCGTTAAGATCGAATTCAAAAACCTAAATGCTAAAGACTTCGAGGATGCTATTTTAATTGTGTTGCAAAATAGCGAGTATAAGGAAAATGCCATGAAGATATCGGAGTTACTTCGTGACCAGGCATTGCCTGCAAAGGAACAGTTTCTTTATTGGGTTGATTACGTCATACGGCACAAGGGACCGCTTTTCTTTCGGTCACACGCCACCTATCGTCTGGCGTGGTATGAATACTTTTTGTTGGACATTATGCTATTTATTTGTGCCGTTTTCACGTTCGCAATTTTTTGGGTTATTTGGTGCCTTAGATACGTAAATAAAAGAACAATGTATTTTTCGAGTTCGCTTTTCGGCACCAAGGAGAAGAAAACAAATTAAAAAGAGTGATGATTGTATGGGACGTATATTTTTCATAAGTGGAGAATGTATTTATTTATATTTTACTTTAATGTATAACATACACGTCATGTTATTGGCTTTTCTGTATTTATCGTTCTATTTAAGCAGTGTAAAATATCTATGGATTTTTTCCATATCGTTAACGATTTTCATAAATAGCCTGACTACATGTACCCGAGACAAAATCTGAGACGCGTTTAATGCTTTACACGTGACAAATACTTGTTCCAGTTTGAGGCACTTCACTGCCCAGCTAGAAGTCTAGATAAATTTACAAAGCGCGTGGGATTGGGTAGGTGCAATTACGTGTGTGTGTGTGTGTGTGTGTGTGTGTGTGTGTGTGTTTATGTGTGTGTGTGCACGTGTGCACGTGTTTGAGAGAGAGAGAGGGAGGTGCGGCGCGTGTTTATGTGTGTAGGGGGATAGAGGTATCCTATTGACAACCCAAACTGTCACAAAAGGGGGTTATGCACTTTGTATCGCCCTCAAACCTCCTTTCTCACAATCCTACCCGTACACGCCGTCAAAAGGAGGTTTGAAATAATATTGTAACTGCGGACATTTTACAATAATAAGAGCATGAAACTTTCCACTGTCTCCCTCAGCGTGTGTGCACGTTCCCTTTCTTATATAATAAATGATAATGATAATAAATTTATAAAGAGTATGGAATCCATAAAGATGTGTTTTGCAGAGTTTACAAATTAAATAATATAGGGTTTAAGGGACATTTAGATTGAAAAGTAATGGTATTGAAAGTAAAGAGAAAAATCTCCAATTGAAATATTTTGAAAAGTGTAAAATAAAATTTCTACGCTACAATTTCTTCTTTTTCTTCTGCTTTTACTTCTTCTTTATTCCAGTAAATTACAAGGAGTTACGTACGTTATAATGGAATTATTTCTTTGAAGAATATTTTTGTTCTTTGGTGCCAAAGATTTGGCAGAATGTAAATGTAAACAGAATGTAATTTTTGAAAAAAAAGTGATTATTTATTTATTCATGATAAAACAACATGTCTCGCTGTAACCTTTCTAGAGACCACCCTCCTTAGTAACAAGTGGGACAACAGGTAATGCTTGTTAATTTCAACTGTTTGGAAAACTGATTTCAATGAGACAGGGCTTTTAATATTTTCAGTTAAAATATCGTCGAATTGATGATACCAGCACACTTATAGGCGACTGAAGCCAAATCAAACATTGACTGCATTCAGATATTATTCAGGAATTGATGTTGGCTGGCATCCATTTTTCCTATCATTTTTTGCATTTTGTACTAAAAAGTTTGTTTTTATTTTGTGTGTGACAGTGTTATATGATCTTAATAAAACGAAAATACTTTTTATTAACTTTGAGTGCAAAGAAGTGATATCTCGAAGCCTGAGTTGAGCAGTTTTTGTGATGGTGTTAGTTGTGATATTTAAAAGCTTTTCTAACGCAATGTGTTAGCTTTCAACGATTGCAGCAGGGGTATATCAAAGATTGCACCCCTTTTTATCATGTGAATATTGTAAACAGGAACAACGTTCCTAGAATGCACCATGAAAACGAAATATGTGTGCATCCATTCATTATGTAATTTGAATGCGATTTAATGCATTTTGAATGAATTCCAAAAGGGGTCTAGGCAATGCATATTCTTTTAAGACCAGAAGCGAGAATTCTAAAATTAGGCGCTAAACTACCTTCTGCAATGTAATGTGGGAGGGTTACATCACTCCCCCGCAACAGGGAATTCTTTTAAAACAAAATGTCAAAGAAAATGTTTGCCTAAATATGTATATATATTCAGTAGTGGTCTGGTGTGATGAAATATAATGCCCGTTTTATAACACAGAAGGCGTAGCTAACGTGTCGGAATAATATTTACCATAGACTTCTACGCATTTATCTTGAAATGATCTGAAAAAGTTGGCGTAAACGATATTGGTCCAAAATGTGCTAGTAAAACTGAAGCCAGTGATATTGTCAGTGGAGTAGTGATTATCAACTGTCAAAATATACATACATGTAATTCCACAAGATGTGCTGAGAGAGAGAGAGAGAGAGAGGGAGAGATGGGAGTCTTTTCAAAACCAAGCCAAAAAACATTGTCATCATTTATCAATTTATTATCATCATATCCTTTGTTCTTATTTTTTGCAAAGATATTTGACAAAACTGCGGGCTTAACTCTTTTGTAACCAAGACAACTAAAAGATACAATTGTAATCTTTAATTAAATTTAATATAATGTAAATGATTAAATTAGACTTTAGCAATTTCGTAACTCCATTCACACTGTAATTAGCGTTTGTTTAATGTTAACCACAGAGTTTTAATATGTTAAAGCACTACTGAATTACATATTTTGTACTTTTGTTTGAAATCTCATTATTACATTATAAATGCTATTGTTCAAACAAATTGTAATTAATTGCTACTTATTGGTTTTTATTATCGTTCATAATTTACCATCATTTATGCCGATGTGGGGAATATTATAATTCAAAGGTATTCCACAAATTCAAGTTACAAAAATGTTCATTGAATTCGTGAGTATCTTACGTGTGCAGTCGGTTCACCACATATACATTCAGTTAGAACGTACAGACCAGGGCAACAGAGGCATTTCAGTAGTGTGCGTTGAGTGAAATGTATTTCTGGGCAGTTATGGTTGTATTTATCACGACCACAAACGGAGATGTATTCGCATGATGAGGTTGCCGTGTAGCCCCAAATCTGCTCTGGTATGTCTACAATATCACATTTCAGATATCCCTTGGTTTTAAAGCCGTTGATTACAATAGCGAAATGGGCTTTAGCTAGTAACAATAAAGCCCTCTTTCTATTCTTCTTGTTTGAAGTGGAATCTGTAAAAATAAAACAAAAACAAAAATCGTTTAAGGCAGGGAGCACAGAGTTTCCAAGGCAGCTCAGTTTTCGTCGTTATTAGTCATTTATCCATTAAATAATTGTTTGATTAATTAACAGAGCTCTGATTATTATTGCCTAAATGATTAGCTCAATTTTCATTATAAAGGGGGAGCGGGAGGGTTGCAGTAGGGGGTTGACTTTGGAAACACGTTCAAACTTTAATTGCGGCTTGCATCACAAATATTGTGTCATGATGATGCTTTTTAAAGACTATTGCATAAATATTTAGAGAAAAAGCATTTAAAGTGATTTAAACATTTAGTGAAGGAATATTTTATTTAAGCTACAGATTTTAGAAAAAAGCCTGCCCATTAAAATTTTGTACACTTTTTTAGAAAAACTCTGCATTTTCTTAAGAATATATGAAATGTACAAAGAACAGAGTGAATTGTCTGCCACCCAATAGCTAAACTTTGTAATATTTGTAGGCACATCTATTTAGTAATCAGGCGCTTCAGGAAGGGAAACTCTATATTGACCAGCATCAATTGTGTAGGTTTGAACTATTGATTTTGCTTTTATATGAAACAAAAATTATAATTCGAAACTAATGTTAAATTAACATAATACTAATCGAATCCAATTCCCATTTTTTTTCAAAATGTGTCAGGTCCTAACAAAAGCCATTTTATCAATATTCTACACTGCGGTTGGTTAAGATGTACACTTAGTGAAAGAAATACGAAGTTTAATATTTTTTCTCTTGAATCAACATTTCATCAAGATTTGCGAGTAACTATTTGAGGTATTTTGACAAAGGCCAAACCAGCGCGATAAAATCATTAACCCAACCTTATTCTATTATATGTATATACTGCGAACACTGGTGTTACAGTTATTGGAATGAGTCATTTCAATTCACTTCCACAGAACCTTACCTGCAAGGGACTTGGCGTTAGGAGGCAGCTTGTAGGTAGTACTGTTGTGCAGTGGCCGACCACCCAGGAAAGTAATGGCGTCACTTTTCAGAAAGGAAAGGTCGTTGATTGGTTTGGGATTTGCAGAAAGGTATTGATTGACAACCATGGAGGCATTAGCGCTCATTTGCCCCCCTTTTATCTAAAGAAGAAATGTTTTATTTAAGATTCCAAAAAATGACAAGAAAACGCGTGGTGAATTTTAATCCCTTTGGATATAATGCAATGGAAAATAATAAAAATAATAATTACTTATTTTTTAAAACCGCGCTACTTCTTAGGGCCATTCCCAATATTATTAAGTGTAAAATTAAAAACTAAAAAAGTTAAGAAAAGCTAAAAGAAACATTAATTTAAAACTGTAATATTCTTTAAAAACGTTTTTAAAACCCTCCTAAAACTATCATAAGTGTCATAAGTTGACAAAATCAAACCATATATATTTGATTATATGTTTTAAGACTTGATCACTATGCATATATTTAAAGTAAAAAACATGGTGATTATTAATGTATTTGTGTGATTGAAGTCAATTACAGTAACAAAATATATATGTCTTTTGCGTGTGCCATGATTTTGGTTGTTCCCAAGATTGACATAAATGATAAAATCTATTATTGATAGACAGCTTTAAAAGGACATTTAACTGAAAATGCCTTTTAAGTACAGGGTGATTAAAAAAAACAGAACCCATAATTTTTTTTATATCCAACAAAGGTCCATCAAATTTCAAGAACTTTGCTGGACATAGACTTAATTATGTGCATGAGCATTCCCCAAAGTTTCAGTTATCTCGATTGCTTTGTACAAAAGTAATGTCTTTTTAAAAATTATACACCAGGGCCGTAGCCTGAGCAAAATGCNTACACCAAATGCCCTCTGCGGCATTGGAGGCACACTTGCAAAAGTCGCGAATAATTGTCTATTACTCAAACACACTTTCCCTGATATTTGCTGAACATAATTGCTGCCTTCAGTTCAACACTTGTTTCAGGGTTTTTCTGGTACATATTATCCTTGAGATACCCCCTTAGATAAAATCTGGAAGGTTCAAATCTCGTGAATGTTGTGCCCACTCAACGTCACAATTCTTTCTGCCCAGTCTCTCCTGAAGTCGTGTAATTACATACTGACATGCATGGTTATAAAATTTTGAGTTTTCTTGTCTCACCTGCACATTTTCCATGCCTCTCTTTAGTACGTCAATATCTCCAAAACCTGTGTCTTCAGTTTTTCTCAGAATACAGTATCTGTCTCGTTTGTAGCACAGGATGGAATGACCCTAGACAAAAATATTATTTAGTTTGAAACTTTGGAAGAGTCTGTTTGCTACTTCATGGAACCGATTACCAATAAAAATGTACCTAAAAGTTTCAGAAAAGCAAGGCTCGGTTATATCATCGCCGTTTATACCCGCATTACTTCACTCT